TCGTTGGTTGAAACGGCTCGCCAGGGCATAGAGCCGCCACCAACGTTGCTGCCAATCCATGGAAGAGAGTCGCACTCGCCTGAATCGCAAGCCGGGGACGGAGACAGTGAGATCAAGCGTGGTCTGTGGCGGACTCGATGGCATTGAGTTATGGCGCTGCTGTCGCGATCGAAGAAAGAGGGAGGAGGGGCTGTTGCGATCGCAGCTTCCAGCGACAGCCTTTTGCATTAGAGTTGAACGGAGAGGCGCTGTGACAAGACCGGACTTGCAGCGGCGAGGAGACATCGGTGAGAAGCTCAAGTGGCTGGATCCGGAAGGGAAAGGGGGAGGAGTCGCGTGCCTGAAGAAGAAGAAGGAGGAAAAGAAAAGAAGGAAAAAGAAAAATCTAGGACATTCTGGTTTGATTCAAATCGGTTCGGTCCGATTTAGTGATTTGGTCTCATTTGTTTGGTTTGCAGGTTTTTTTTTTTTTTTTTTTTTTTTCTTTTTTTTTTTCTTTTTTCAAAGCTGTGTGTGGTTTCGAAAGTCAATTTGGTTTTTAAAAGGTCAGTTCGCCATTTATTTTAATTATTTAGGTTTTGGTTCCAAATAATTTTCTCCACTTACTCAATATTAATAATCAAAAATTATTAATTAGATACAACAATATTTGTTTTAAGATAATAATTCATACATATTCATAATAAGTTTCAAATTAAGGGGTTTTCGTAACTTATTTCTCAAAAATTTCTAATCATTCTCAAATCGACAACCGATGATGTATTTGGGCTTAGGCCCAACTCACCAAACTTGAGGCTCGAATTGAGGGATTGTTTTGATATATATCATAGCCCAAATAGTTGAAACGTCGACTATTTTGATTTATTAAAAAATTCGGGAAACGTTTTCGAAAATAAAAATTCGGAGGTGTTTTCCAACCTTATATACATATATAATATAATTTTATTTTATTCAATACTAATATTTCCTGATCTATAAACATAGCGACCAAATCGTGCGTAATCAATCACAACCAATAAAAATTATCAACATTCTTTATTTTTTAACCAATTAAAATTAAAAGTTCTTTAATGATTACTTTGATCCAATAGCGAAGTTTTTTAGGGCAATCCCTATTTCCCAACCAATTTAATACTCTCTAGAATAGATATATTATTATAAGATTTTTTATACATATTCAAAAAATATATATTTGGATATACAAAAATAGTTGATGGCTTCTCTGTAATTTGTTTCAAGCTAGCTCCATTCCGTAAGGAATAACGGTTGCTTGGCTTAGGGCCTAAAAGGCAATGGTTCCCTTTTGCCCAACCTAACATGGGGTAACTAAACCATTAGTTAATAGTGCCTATTCATGGGCTGGGCTCTCAGTTTTTCAAATTGGCCTAAAACCTTATTTGATGATTAAAACAGTATTATTGGTTGAAAAATTCCAAAATAAATACAACACCCAAAATAAAAAAATTATTTCTTAATTGGGTAACTAAACTCATAGTTAATAGTGCCTATTCATGGGCTGGGCTTCAGTTTTTCAAATTGGCCTAAAACCTTATTTGATGATTTAAAAAAGTATTATTGCTTGAAAAATTCAAAATAATACAACACCAATAAAAATTATAATTTATGTACTAATTTTATTTGATTAATCCGATTATCATTTTTAAAATAATCGATCGAAAATCAAAAATTAAATTTATTTCCATTGAAATAATTAAAATTTATTAGTTTACTTCAACTATTTGATTTACAGTCAAGCAGTTCTAACTCAATACCTAAAAATTGAAATATTTTTAAGTTATTGACAAAAACTAATTACCTCTCATCAAAATAATTAAATATTATTGAAGGAAATGAGAGCTATCCTTATTACATAGCTTATTTTAATTGTAATTTATGCGGATTTATCTATTTATTATTATTAGGAAGTATTCCAATTAGTGTGTGTATATATATATATATATATATGCAAACGAGTGGTATGGTTCTGAACCGAACCGAACTGGAAAAATAAAAAATCGAAAGTAGATTTCCTTTAAAGTTGAATCAAACTGAATTAAATTTAAAAATCGAATTAAGTCGATCGGTTCAGTTCGACAGATATCGGTTTAGTCAAACAATTCGATTTCACTCAAAAAATAAATATTTTAAAATAACCGATTCAAAGATCGAAAATCGAAATTATATAAGATTTCAAATCGAATCCGAAACCAAAAACTAAATAACCAAACAAAAGACAGAAAATAATTTGGTTGAGTTTGATTTTTAATTTTTTCCAAAGTTTGCTCATCCCTGTGTATAACCCTTCAATATTTAAGTTTTAGCTTTACCCTTGAAGGGAAGGAATCCCATGTAAACCATATTTTCCACTTCACTTTATGATTGGGATTCCACTATAGATTTGGATTTTAGTGTTTCATTAGTTGTCAAAAAAATTGTCATTGAGATTGGATCTATTAAGAGACAAAGATTTGACCAAAAGTAAGTAAAAGAGAGGAAAATAAAATAATGATTGTGTTGTGCATTATTGTGAAATAAAAAAGTAATTAATTGGTTTGATTAGTTGGATTTTGCATTTCTTAATGATTCTTTAATTCCATCCTAAGTCATGGGATGCCAATAGTATATTGATTTGATCTCCATCAACCTCATTTTTTTATTATTCACTACTTTGTTCTTGTGGTTCACAATGGCATCATTTTTAAGGACCTTATAAGTAAAAATGGTTATAATTTTTGTTAAGAATTGTCATTTTGGAATATGAAATTGAATTGAATTTTTTATTTTTTATTTTGATATGTTAATATGTTTTTTTACAATAGGGATAATTATATAGAAGTAGTGCTTTGAGCTTTGTTGTTTTGTTTTTAATTTGTGTTTCAGCTTTATTTTTTATCAATTAAGACCGTTAGACAATCTTTTTTCAGCTAGCTTTTAGCATTTTGACCAAATCAAGTATTTATTTTTATTAATTGTATTGTTCGATATACCTTTTAGAAGCTGATGAAGTTTTTCATGAAATATTAAACACACTAACATCTAGCGTAAGAGAGATTAATTAAATTTTCTTCTTTGTCATTTTAAGTTAATCAACTCAATAAATAATTAACAGTCAGCTAAAAGCAAATAGCTAATAACTACTCATTTAACAAATAAAATAACTGTTAATATTGCTGAACAAGCTCAAAGTATCCAAACAAATAAAGTTTTTACAATTAGGTACATTTGTCAATCTCACCATCTTCCCTACCAAATTTTAATAGGTACAATTTTGATTAGGTATAAATTTTAATACCTGTCTTTGCCAAACTAATTATCTTCCCTGCATTCCATAATATCTGAAAGACTTCCTAAAAGAAGAAAGAAAATGGAGGAAACTGAGAGATAAAACTTGGTTTTTTTTTTTTTTCTCATATAAAACAAAGAAATTAAACAAAGAACGAATAGAAATATGTATTATTTTCTTTCTAAAATTTCTCTTTAAATTAAAACAAAACGTTATATAATAACTAGAGGAGGGAAATTAATTATTTTCCACATATTTAAATATATGAGGAAAAAAAATTAAAAACTTCATATTTTATAGTCAAACCAAGGCATAAAAGTGTGGAAAATATTTTTGTTGGATTAGGTTAAATTAATTTTGTTTCGTTGTTTTGATAAATTATATAAAATTAATTTTGTTTCGTTGTTTTGATAAATTAGATATATAATATATATAATAATATATATACTATATATATATATATATATAAAGATGATGCTTATAATATATAAAAGATGATGCTTATAATAAAATTTCCAAAACTTTTGTTATATGCAAAGGATGCTCATAATAAAAGGTATTAAGGGGTAGAGTACTCATAATTTACTGGGCTAGGACTAAATTTTTATCGCACCAGACTGACTTAATAAGGGATAAAATGCTCTCAATGAGTATTTATTATATTCTATTCACAAGAATCAAACTTTCGAGCTCACTTGAATAAGAAGAATATTGAACCATTCATCTCAATACTCTTTGGTAAAAATAAAATTTCATTTAAATGGGAAGATTTTGTAACTGAATGAAATTCATGTATTTCTACAAACTATAATCAAAAACATATATAAATGTGGAAAAAAGGAGGCAAATAATAAAATTTTATAATTTATCCTTAAGTGACATTAGAGATATCTTAAAATATCCTTGATTAGAACCAATTAAAAGATTTTAATTAAAAATATTAAAACATTCTTAACTATTACCAATTAAAATAAAAGATTTTAATTGTAGAATATAATATTTTAATTGAAAAAATAAATGACCATGACCAATTAAAATATTTCAATTAAAAATATATAAAATTTTAAATTAAAAAATAAATAATAATATACAAATCTTAAAATTTTCAAACATAATTAATTTTATTAAACATCCTAAATGTTATTTCCTTAACAAGTTATTTAACTAATAAATTTTTAATTTATTATTTAATAAATTTTTTTATTTTGTGAATAATTTTAACTTTTTAGTAATATAAATTTATTTTGTGAAATTTAACTTTTTAGTAATCATAAATTATCTTTATAATATTAAACTTACAAAAAAAATTTTTTAAAAATTATATATAAAGCTAAATTACATTTTAATATTATAACTTACAAAAAAAATTTTTTAAAAATTATATATAAAGTAAATTACATTTATTTGCAACACATAAAAATCAACAAATACAAAGCAACGTATATTCGAAAAAATCAGCATATTAAAACACAAAATAATTGAAATTTAGAATAATTTTTCTAAAAAAATGAATTTTTCATATAGAATTTTTTTTAAAAAAAAATAATGGAGTATTCTTTAAAGATTTAATGTCATAAAGTTGTAAAGTATTATGAGAAAATTATTCTTCGTGTACACCCAAGAATCGGAAAAGTAGGTGCCCAGGTGTCACCATAAAGAAAAAAAAATAAAGATAACAAGTTAGGTATGACCATATGGTAAAAATAATAAAAACAATATAAAATAAAATAAAAACAATACGACAAATAGGACAATATAATTAACAATAAGAAGTAATAATATATAAAATGACATGGTACCCTTTCTATTTTTTCGATGGATAAACCAAAATTTTTATCTAAAGAAACAAAATTTTAATATTCTAACACAAGTCAAAATGGCAGACTCCGTAATTAGAACGTTTCTTGAGGGTCAACGTATTTTCTTTTCTACTCCCGCTCACCGAATTCCTCTTCACAAAATTTTCTCTGCTATCGTAAAATAAAAAATAAAACCCTAAAAACTCCACAGACCCATGAAAAAGATGGAAAATTTCCTTGAAGCGGTTTTTTTTTGAACTGAGTTCAACGGTCGTATTGGGATTTTCAATCAAATTTTCTGATTTTTTTTTTCTGTCCTTTTTGATTGCTTTTTTGTTCAGATTGCTCTTCTAGACATGTAAGTTTGTTTCTAAGTTTCTTTTCTTTTATTTTTTTTTTTAGTTTTGGTTACTCTTTAGTTTTTATTTGTTTTGTTTTGTTTTATTTGTTTATTTGAAATGTTAGTAAGCTCAGGTAATTTTACTTTTTAGCATAATTAAGCTTAAAGCTTTTTGTTTGTGAGCTGAGAAATGGAGGAGGAAGAAGGATAGAAGATTATTTTTTGATTGTTTGGTTTTTTATTTTGGTTTCTTTAGAGCTTTTTTTGTCAATTGAAATATTGCATTCTGATGAAGCAAATCAGTTTTAGCTTAATACTTAATGCACTTAGTTTTAGCTTAACTGTTACTTGCTTGGTTTTGCGGTTTGTTGTAATGCAGGAAAATGGAATTTCTTTTCTGCTGGTTAAGTTTCTTTAGGTTTAAAGAAAAAAAAACCCAACTCTAGTATGAGCCAAAGTGCTGTATTAAGTTCAGTCTCTGTTGGGGCTGTATTTGGTTTTGTATTTCCTGATTATCTAGTCAAATGAAAAGTTTAACAAGTAAAACTCCAGAATTTCTATCTTTTTTTTTTTTTTTTTTTTTTTTTTTTTTTTTTTTATCTTTTTTTTTTTTTTTTTTTTTTTTTTTTTTTTTTTCCCTTATAGGTTTTTTTTTTTTTTTTTTTTTTTTTTTTTTTTTTTTCCCTTATAGTTTATCTGCACCAAATTGAGCAAATATAGTTGTCTGATTATTGATTTTCTGGATTGCCTATTAACAACTTTCTTTTTTTGTTCCTTTTGGAATTTGGCAGATTTTCTTGTGTTTGCCATGAAAACTGTATATGACTTGAAGCTGTTTATTCAAATTCATGGGTGATTCTGACCACTCTCCTGCTTAGTCACTTTGAGCTTTAGTGGTGGTGGTGGTGTTTCTTCATTGAAAGTGAATGGGGAGTCAAGAAGTTTTGGAGGCTTCAGCTTTTAGGGATGCTAGGGTCACTTCATGCAATGGTAGCAAAGTGGAGTACAGTGGCAATGTTGAGGAGAGTGAGAATCTGACTGTGGACTTACTCAATGATTTCGATTCATATTGGGAGGATATTGCGGATGGAGTGACTGTGTCCAGAATGGTGAGCGACTCAGTTATCAAGGGTATGGTAAGTGCTATTCAACAGGAGGCAGCAGACAAGATTGCTAAGAAAGAGTTAGAGTTGGCCAGTTTAAAAGAAATGTTACATCTTAACCTTGGGCATAAAGAAGGCAATGGATCTGTAAGGTATTCAATGATGTGCCATGAAGCTAAAAGCAGAAAAAATGGGCATTATTTCACGTATTCAAATGGCACCATAGAGTATGACGGGTTACAAGATTCTTTGGGCAACCTTAAATTTGCAGCTAAAGAGCAGTTTAAAAAGCTCAAGAAAGAAATTGATAAGATTAGAGGGCCTGATTCTATTGGGAAAAAGGGTTCAAGTTCTGAATTGTTGGGATTGAGTGGTATGGACAAATTGATTGATGTGGATAGGGCACTTGATGGTCTTAGAAATGATGTGGATAGGGCACTTGATGCGTCTTAGAAAAAACTCTGGAGTCTAATATACTCACAAACAGAAGATTATGCCGTTTTGCTTGTCTAAGTCATTGCTTCTTGGACTGGGCAGCAGGCAGGAAGAGCAAATTCAAGCAGGAAATTGAAAGAAACTGCGTTTGATCAACGAATTTGTCTTTCAGAGCGCTCCCAAGAAGAGTTTTGAGCAGAGACTATGGCGATCAAAATGCTCAATTCCTTATGGTATTGAAAGCCACAAACCAGCTTGAAAAAGGCATCAGAGAGATCAAAGTTCGTCTTGGGAATTAGATATCCATATCACAAATCTTATCCTGTTCCTGCCAAAGTGGGGCATTTAATTTTCACACGGATTCCTTGGAGCACCAAAGGTTTCCGGGTCAGTCATGCTTCATCACCTATCACTTTGGGACGGGAAATGGCCAAACATGATGCAGGTCAGTTTATTGTCTGTTTCCAGAAAATCTTGGCATCATTCACAACTAAAGCCACTTGTCGAAGGATGAACTGTTTTAATCATTTTACTTGTCGAAGGATGAATTGTTTAATCATTTAAAGGCTGAGATGACTAAAATGAAGAGACATTATGAGTTAAAAGAGCATGAAATGACTGAAGATTATTTCAGTCTCAAGAGGGAGTACTTGAAGTTGAAGGAAAGGCCTTCTTCTTTGCCTGTGGTGAAGGATAAGGAGTTTGATACATGGAGGAAAAAGATCCCAGAGGTCATTCTAAAATTGGATGGCATCCTTATGGAAAATGAGAAACTGCCTTCATTTAGTAACAACGGAGATTGTCTTGACAATTTGAAGGATAGATTGGAATCTCTTCGCTCAGAAAATCACCAACTAAAGGACTTGCTCATGGATAAGAAAAAGGAAATAAAACGCCTTTCCTCACAAGTTTCTGATGCTGCAGAGAAAATAGCTGAACACTCTTTGGCTGAGGAAAACTTGTTAAGAATGTGCAATGATCTTAAATGTGCTATGGAAGATGCAGAGATTGAAGCTTCAATTAGTGAAGATCTATACAAATTCCTTCTTAAGGAGGTCGTTGATCAAATGCAAGGCTTCAATCAAGAGTTAGATATGGAGTATGAAATCATACGGGGAATTTATAAAATTATTTTCGAGGAAGCTGTTTACAATGCCGAGCATACTGGTACTTTAGAGATTGAAGATTCAGTTATAGAGTCCATTATAGCACAAGGAATATGTGAAGTTATTTTTAAAGAATCCTTCAAGGAAGCTGAGGAGAAAGTTGATGCCTTGAACATGAAATATATAAATGAAAATGAAGTTCGATTGTCCCTTGAGATGCAAGCATTGGAAAAGGAAAAGTTCTTGAGATTGAATATTGCAGAGAAAGAAAAAGCAGAGCAAGAGGTGCTCTTATTAAGGGAAATGGTTGATAACAAGGCTAATTTGGTGCAAGAAGCAATGGAGGCTTTGGCAAAAGAGGAGGAGAGATATGCGTTAGCTTCTGAAGAGCTTGACAAGTTAAGGGTTCAGAGAACTGAGCAGCAAATACTAATTGCAAATTATGATAAAGAATTACAAGCTGTCAAAGCTGATTTGTTTAGGGCAAGGGAGAAATTTGAAATGGATAAAGAGGTGATCTTTGAGTTGAGAGAACAGGTTGAGACAGTAACAAAAAAGTTAGGAGAAGTTAATGAGGAGAAAATTATGCTTCTTTCTATTTCCCAAAAGCACCAGAATAGTTTATCATCGGTTGAAGCTAGAGAAAGAGAACATAGGAAGCAAATAAAGTCTACCATTGTTCTTGTCCAAGGATTGTCAGAAGCAGTTACTAATTTTGAATGCAGGGCAACAGAATATATTGAAATAAATAGATTGAGGTATGTAATGCCACCTTTCGATTGCTGACATGCAGACCATGTTTGCATAAATGCATGAACTACAACATGACTTTGTTCCTGTGGTTATGGGAATGCTGCATTTAGATTTAACTCACATTATGAGATACTTGACATCTGTTAACTTCTAGAACTTGAACAAGTTTAACAGTGCAATTTACCTGGGAATCTCCTCCTTTAAATCAATTTTCCTGTTCTATTGGTTTCTGGCTAAAAACATCACATGGGGGACAAATCTTTCTTTTGATCTATGCCGTAATCAGTTACTAATTGCTGGAGTTCTTCATATACTTTCCTCGAGTTGTTTTCTTTAATGGCAAATTATGAACATGCTCTCCTGAATTTATTTGTTCGACCATGACATAGGTATGTATAAAAGGTTGATGGTAGATTTTGGTTCAAATCTTAGCTATATTAGTGTTAGTCTTATGATATATTTCTAGCATGGACATAACCCCCAGTTTTAAAAATGGTCACTTCTTCTGAATGTGGATTTGCCAAGAAAATGCTTGATGTTTATATAGTTATTTATTGTCATGATACTTGCATAATACCAATGTGTCCTGACTTGCAAGATTTGAAGCATTACTAATTGAGACGGCTCTCAGTTGATGAGGGTCCTTTTAGCCAGCAGGTTCTTGTTGCCCTGGATTTCCATATCTATGCTTTCCACTCTGTTTACTTGATACTGCCCATGTTTTGTGCGCAAATTGCATGCCTACTTTCTGTTTTCAATATTTTAGTTGTGCTCCCCAATCTGTGAAGTTAATTGGCCTCCACTTATTAGCTGCCCTTTCTGGTCTGCCAAGTGTCTTAAATTGTGCCCTGAATTGATTTCATATGAACCGCACCAATTTAGTGTTTGCTATATTGAATAATTCTTTGCTTGGTCGTTAGTTTCAAGTTTTCATATTCAGCTCTTAACTAGAAAAACTTTGAGGGTGTTTTGAGCTTAAGATTTATTGATGCAAAAACAATAGCATTTCCATGGCATCTTTTCCAGGTTGGAAGAATTGTGCTCTCAATTGAATTCTCTCATTCAGAAAGCTAACGAAATTAAAAGGGAGGAGTTTCTGTACAAGCAGAAGGAGGTGTTCTGACCTTCAAAAAGTCTGAGCTGAGGCTATAATGCCAGAAATTTTCATCTCAAAACCCACACACATGCGCTTGCACACACACAGGTTTATGTTATAAATTTTGTACATATTGATGTGTTTTGGGTTGATGTCTTGTGATCTAGAAAATGGTTCCATCCACCAAAAATTGCATTCGTAGAAGGAATTTAATGTGGTGCTTGGATACTGTTATTGTTTACAGTTGCATTTGTTTGAATTCAGAGTCTTAGTCCCACATCAAGAGATGGGGCTGCTCACAAACTTCATAGTTTGGACCAATTTATTAAACAGGGTCATTATGCGGTGGCTTTTTCTCTTGTATGATTGCAACAATTATTTATGATATTTACTGTTGAACCTTTTCTATTTTTTGTTTATTGATCTTTTGAAGTCAATGTTTATCGTTTTAGTTTGTTCCGTTTGTATTGCTTCAAATAGATATTATTTTTTGTGGAAAAGTTCTTTGAGAAGCCAAACACTAGAGAATAGTAATACACTATTTGTTTTATTTTATGATAACTTCTTTTTGTTTTATATTGATAGGTAATTGAACCAAAATAGGAGTTTGGCTGTAGTTTGGTTGCTGAAACTCTTTTAAAAATTGTTTAAAAGTGGATATACTGATGTTGAAGCTAAATTCAAGTAATGGCTAGAGGCAGTTCATTAGTTACATTAATCATTGATTTAATTGATATTAACTAATTTTGGAAGCTTGGGATTGAAAACATGAGTTGCTCATTTTCTTCCATTTAGGGAACAGATTCTTACCTGTGCAGTCTTGCATTTCAAGATTCCTCATATCTTTTGGTACTTCAAGATGCCTCATGTCTTTTGGTAAATGAACTAGAGGTAGCAAACTTGATGCAACCCATACATGCAATATACAAAACTCAGTATTTTAGGTGGAATTGAACTGGGCATTAAAATGGATTTGTGCAAAAGATGGTTTGACCCGATTATGACATGCCAAAAGTTAGATTATAAATAGGTGACCAATGTGATCCAAAATGATACAATATAACCAAACCCAAACAAACCCTCCAATAAAAAAAAAAAAATTGACACACACACACACAGAGATGCAGGCTCTTTAATTTTTGGTTCAAAACGTTAACTATTTAGTGCCTGATATCCATACATCTAAATCTACTTAAAAGTAAATTTAATTTGTGTAAAGTAAAATTTGAAACATAATTTTAAAGTAAACGAATTTAAGTGAATAGCGATTAAATGTAAATTGATTTAAAGGATTTTGATTGGACATGGTATCATCATATTAAGATTGTGGTTAATGGAATGATGCATTTGATATTATGCTTTTTCATTGGTTAATTTTCATATGTGTCCGTACTAGCCATGACATACTTTGTTGTGCATTAAGATTTAATTTGTAATTAAAAAAAAAACCCTGAACTATTTCAATTTAATAACAAAAAAAATGAACTTATCTATTTCTAGGTTTCAAAAATCTTCACTGGAAAAGCTAATGGTGATCAACGACCAGTTAGAAATTAAAAAATAAAATTTTTTGGCGTTATTTGAATGCTAATTTTAAATCTGATTTGCATCGTAATTTTGATTAATGGTGGATTTTATTGGATCCTAGATTTATCTTATTTTATTATTTGTCTGTGTATTTATTCTCTACATTAGTAGATAACTCTAGGAAAAAAAATGTGGTTACGCTAGACACTAGTTAGAAAATGATTTCTATCTCCAGCTTGGTCGACTATCTGTCAGCTTTTTTGGGATGAGAACTTAGCTAAGGAAATCTAGGAAGTGTCAGTTTATTCTTACATTAATTGAAGTTGAGATCTTCTTTTTTGTATAAGAAACACGAAAAAATGCGTGATAGTGATAGTTTAGCTACCACGGAAAATTATCCTGTTTACTGTTTTGAAAAATTATTCCTGTCTTTTTATAAATTAATATCATGTAAACTTCTTTAAACTTGATAACTTGTAATTTTTCTTTCTTTTTTTTTTTTTTGTAAGATATTACCACGGACTTTTATTAAACGTTTAAGCAGTTTTGTTGTGTACCCACTTAAATTGGGTTTAAGAATCCTGACAATTCATTAAACAATTCAGGTTTGAGTTGGTTATTTTTACCTGTTATGCAAATATGTTGACATGATTTGTTTATGACATGGACAACACGAATTTGATAGCCCAAACGTTAAGTAAAATTCCCTGATCAAGGTGCCTCAAAAGTCAAACCTCCATCTCTGCAGAGAAGACTCCCAAAATTCCTTCCATAGGAATGGAAAGGGAATCATGCTTTGTTGAAATCTGGGAATAGTTTAGTGAACAGACAAAGAAAATCTTAGCAGCTAAAAAAGGAATGGTTAATTTTATTGATGAGAATTTTTTTCTTGCCTAAAGTGCAACCAAAAATTTTTTTAGAAACCTAATAGGGAAAACTACTGTTGTTGAAGAATCATATTCACTATTACCCCAATATGTTAACAAGGGAAGGAGAGTTATAAGTTGTTAGAATTCCCTTATCGCAGTTATATTGTTGCACTTTGGGGGAATTGCACTGCTTTAGGATAAAATTTACCAATTGTCCATGTTGATCTTATCATTGGTTTTTGAGACACTGATTTGCGTAGCAAGGTATTCTAAATGATATTTTTGCTTGGCTAAAAATTCAGGTTCACCTAATCTTACTAGGAATAGCAACACCAGTGGGCAATGGAAAAATGCCCAACTCAAATTATTTAGTTTTTGGTGCCATAGGGATTTTATATCTCTGATGCTTATAAAGTGAGGAAAAAGGCCAAGTATCTAGAAATCCTAAACACTGAACAATCTTGTTGAATGTGGTATATGCGTTTGTCTTAATCTTAGGTTGAAAATTTGAAGTATTTAAGGGCCCTTATTGGGAAATTTAAATCTTATTGATTGAAAATTGGCTGTTGGAAATCAAAAGTAGGCAATAATTTTCAATTTGTTAAATACAGTTTTTTTCTTGGAACTCAGGGTTGATCTTTAGGTGATGAGGTGGGAACACACTTCTAAGTCTTCTTGGAAAAGAATACATTAGCACTGCACAATCTCTCTCTTTT